CCCGGTGCCTGAACGAAGCCTTCGCCGCCCTGCGGAAGATCATCCCCACCCTGCCCTCGGACAAGCTGAGCAAGATCCAGACCCTCAAGCTGGCGGCCAGGTACATCGACTTCCTCTACCAGGTCTTACAGAGCGACGAGCTGGACTCCAAGATGGCCAGCTGCAGCTATGTGGCCCACGAGCGGCTCAGCTACGCCTTCTCCGTGTGGAGGATGGAGGGCGCCTGGTCCATGTCCGCATCCCACTAGCAGAGACGGGGCCCCACCCGCACCCCCCGGGCAGGAGCCCTAGGTAGGCCAGGTACATCGACTTCCTCTACCAGGTCTTACAGAGCGACGAGCTGGACTCCAAGATGGCCAGCTGCAGCTATGTGGCCCACGAGCGGCTCAGCTACGCCTTCTCCGTGTGGAGGATGGAGGGCGCCTGGTCCATGTCCGCATCCCACTAGCAGAGACGGGGCCCCACCCGCACCCCCCGGGCAGGAGCCCTAGGTAAGGGAGGCCTGGGCCGGGCGGCAGCGCTGCGAGCCCTTCCCTGCGCGCGTGTGGTTGGGGAGGGGGGGTGGAGGTGGGGGGCAGAGCTGGTCAATATCCGCGCCTGGGCCTGCACCGAGGGACCAGTGCTGGAGAAGGGCCCCGCTTTCTGGGCGCGGAAGCCGCCTCTGAGGGGCCTGCTGGGCAGGCAGGGTCCAGCCAAGCGCCCCCAACGCCCCTAAGAGGCGGCGGCTCAGGCCCGGCACCGCCAACCACTTGTTGCCTTTGCAGAGCGTGGGCGAGGGTCACAGACGGCCGGGGTCCGAGGGAGAAGGCGATGGCTCTGGCCACAGCGGGGTGGGGGCTCGGGTGGTTTCCTGCCCTTGCTGTGCTGGAGGGTAAGGGGGCCGCGGGGAGGGAAAGAAGTTATCCCTCCACCAAACCCTCGCAGTGAATTCTCTGTTTAGAAAGGGAGTCGATGATTCCGTTACGCTTCCCAATGTGGGTTTCCCAATTCCTTCCCCTGCCCCACCAGTCCCCTCACTTCTCCCCCCACCGCCGGGGGCTTTCGTTCCTCCTGAATGTGGTGGGGGGGTTGGATCGCAGTCAGTTGTGTCGCATGCAAAACAGCACAGCTTGCTAGGGCGCTCGCTCTTTTCCCTTCTGCATAACATTTTTAAAAAAAAATGATCAGTAACAAACCTTTCCTCTCCCTCTCTGGGTTTTTGCAGATGACATTGTTCCCAAAGAAGGAGAAAATGGACAGTCTAGAGACTCTGAAGTTGGATACCATTTTTTAAATTAAAAAAAAAACTATGCCAAGGATTTTCTTGGAAATTAGAAGAGCTATATCCAAATTCAAAGCAGGGCGTGGGGAGCACTTAAAGAAAGAAAGAGGCGAGGGTGCTTGGACAGTGACCACCCAGATAGGCATCTGCACAATCCACACATCTCTGCATTCTGATAGAAGTCTGAACAGTGTTTTGGTTTTCTTAAATTTTGACGAAGAATGTTGGAATTTAATTTTTTTTTTGCATGCATGCATTCCCAAGAGGTCGTGCCTATGAGCCACTGATGAAAGGAAAATACATTATTGTGGACTTTTCGCCGTTCTTGAATGGTCATAATGAAAAACAAAACAAACTTTTTTTTGAGATGAAAACTTTTAGGGGGAAAATAAACTGGGCTCAAACTGTTATACACAAACCTACCCGGTTCCTACTTTTTTATTATTATTTTTCCTCTGAGAAAAAAATAAACATTTTATTTATTTATTGATGACCCATGTTAAAATGCAAATAGATCCGGTGTCTAAATGCATTCATATTTTTATGGTTGTTTTGTAAATATCATTGTATATTATTTTTCTGCAATAAATAAATATGATTGAAATTTTAAGAACCTTAAAGTTTGGTCTATATGAAAACGCTGGGATTAAGCTGGAGATAAATACCTGTTTGTTGAGCTGTAAAGACACCCAAGAGGGAGCACTAATATAAACAAACGGGGGCGAAAAACGCAAATAAACTAGCTACTGACGGACACAGGCGAGTTATTTATAGAGACAGCTTTATTATTCTGCTTTAGTGCTCATTGGACTTTGGGGTCGGATATGCTCTATTTTAATCAGAACTCCCAATAATATTCGATTAAATGAAGAATGGAATTGTTTTAGCCACCGATCTAAAGTAATGGCATTCTTTTTCCAGATCATGTGCCTCCGAAATGTAAGCCAGAAAGATGGTATATCTCCCTCACCATCGCTCTGTGCACAGCAATTTTTATTGATTGAGATAAATAAGGGCCCAGGACAGAGAGCGCATCCGTTTTAAAGAGGCCCATAAACAAACGAGGCAAGTCAAAGAAAGGTTGGAATAAGAATATTTGGCTTGTATGAAGAAGGTGGTTCTTTAATATTTTAATGGCAAGGTTTAAAAGCTTTGTTTTTGCTGGTACAATGGGGCGGGATACAATAAACTAACGCCGTTTTCCTTCTATAAACAGGAGAGCTTCCCTATGTATGAAGCATTTTGTCTCTATTTTTCTCCGCTCTTATGGTTTAAAATCTAATGTAAGGTAGAACCACAATTGTAAAGGAAAGTATATCTTCAGGCTTCAGCGATCAGAATAATGGTGGAAAAAGCAGCTATTTAAAATTGTGAAAACAGCCACTTTCTTTCTAGTCTAGCCATCCGTCTCATTGTATGTGTAGTGTATTCCACCGATTCAGATCTCGTTAGCTAAAGCTGTTATTTCTGGGTAGCAAACCACGACACTGACAAGCCATGCTTTGCTTATTTTATTTTAGAAATAACAGGTTGTGAGCAATATGCTAATACTAACAGGAAAGTGGGCGGTCACTGTTTAGCTCCTAAATAAGACTCTAGACCAAATTGTAATAACTCACAAAAGGCGTTTGGGTTGCAAACTATTCGTTCCTTTTGCTGAACAGATTCAGTCAATGTCGAGTGTAAATAAGAGGGTGTGTTGATTCAAAACAAGACATGTTTGCTTAGCCCAGGTTGCGTTTACTTTATTGCCTGACTGTTTTTGTTTCCATGTTCACATATTCCCATATATTGCTGACATAACAGTATGATGAATTTAATATCGTGCATATTTTAAACCAGTGCGCAATGTTGACGGTAGAAAGCCTGCAGAGTTTGTTTATATTAAAGGATTAGAGAGGACTTTGAAAATTGGATTTGGGTTGTGGTGGTCCCGGCACTAAGTATCGGAAAGAAGGGTGAATTCTTTGTGTGTGCTAGAGAGGGATTCGCTACCTTCGGTGGTCCGACCAAGTGGACTTCTGGCTCCTTCCATCCAGATCTGATGGCTTGATAGTTCAGATTTCTTGAAGATCTCCGGAACTGATGAGAGCCCACCAGCAAGGAGAAGGTAATGCTTGTCTCTGCTACCTTTGCTTATGTGAAGGGATGGTGAAAAGAGGAGTGTCTTGGACCTTGGTCTTTTTTCCTCCTAGAGAGAGGAAAGCTCGCCAGAAAATGTGAGTGTAGCATGGAAAATGCTAAAGGAATCACCAAGAATAATATGGCCTAAATTTGCAAAAGCAGAGAAATAGGTAACCGACTGCTGGGTAATTTTGGAGGAAAGGGAAATTCATGGAACAGATTATTTACTAAACGTTTAAAAAAAAAAACAGACAAGAAGGGGCCGAATTCTGCTATCGCTTTACAAAGTAAGTCAGCTGAGTCGGATGTCGTGTGTCCTGTTTGACCCCACGTCATCGACTTCAGAATTCGGCCCCATCTACATCAGCTCTTCCCAGCCACTTAAAATACGTTGGGGGAGAGGAAGAAACCAGGCCACTTTCAAACTTTTTACTTACTACGTCTACTATTCTTACTTGCCTTGTATTTTTTTCTAGGAGGAAATGCAATCTGTTATTTTGCAGTGATCGCTATCAAAAGGCGACAAGTACCACAGACCCCTTATCTGTATTGTGCCTTTAGCATGAGTCTGTTTTATTAATCTAGTATCAATCGTTATCTTTATTTAAAGAAAACATAGCAGGAGATTATCCTGGTTTAAAACGGCAAACGCGATGTTTCCCGTTTGGTGCTCTGTGACTGTTTTGGCCCCCATTCACTTGAGCCAAGACCTATTAAATCAGTTTCAGGCTTATTGAAGAAAAATATTAATTTGGCTTCTGGGACTGGTAAGCGCTCCCGCAAAAATGGTCCTGTTCTTTGGAAGTTATGATTTTTTTTTTTTTTGGCCAGACAACAATTGATTTCCAGAACAAAATGCAGCATAGTTGAGGTTCCCTACAGAATGTTGCTCTGTGTGGTTACCATAGCTGTGAACAGACTAACCGTGTCCTGGTGGCTCTCCATCGCCATTGTGCAGGCTAACAAACCCAGTGCCTTTTAAAAGGTAAAGCAACAAGGGCCCGGATCCTGGGAATTTTACTCAGCCTCAAGGCTACCAGAGCGAGTAAACGTTCCAGGATCCGGCCCCAGATGGGCCGCTTGTAGCCCAATGTACCAGGCTCACGGTGTTGCAGTTTTGAGGTTCAGTTTAGTCCACGGGGATCCTTAGGGCGCTCCCCTCGGCCTTGTGCAAGACAGCGGAGCATTTTGCACATTCCTCGGTTTGGCCAACTCAGAACTAGTTATTTTCTCTAGTCCGGTATCAAATTCTTCCCCGGCGTATGATTTCACTTGAAGTCCTGCCCAGGAATCCTTCAAAGTGAGCGTTTGTCCCGCTCTCATGATGTCAGGCGGTTTTCCCTGCCTCTGTAATTTTAAGGAAAACAAACAAACGTGCGGGAAACAAACGTGATGGGAGTCCAGACAGAATTCAGTGGAGAAAAGGGGGTTCACCTGCGGTGTGGGTAAACAGCACTGCCTCTTGCGTGTAAGTAGGGGGGACCGGGCGGTCCCTGCCACATGGGAACTACAGTTAGCAGCCGAGGAGGTGATGCTGTAGCTGGGGCCCCAAAAAGAGACCAGCAGTCAGAGGATAACGGATTGTAAAAGGCGAGGGAAAATCCTGGTCCTTTTGCAGTCAAAGAGCGACTACTAGGAGCAGGATCGGGTCCCTGAATGGTAACTCTGAGCATGGGTCGAAAGAGAACTAAGAACTAGTGTGGACGCTACTGTTGAGGCGTTCCCCAGGGTTCTGTTGTTCACACGAGCAGTCGCTTCACCTGCATTCACTCAAGCTGCAAACAGACCCATCCTGAAAAAAACGGGCTTTGCCATAAATTAGCATCTTTTGGAAGTCGCGGGTGGAGGGGGGTCGAATCATCCGAATTAACTGCCATAGGATGCTTGTGGCTATGAGAGCAAAGAAGGCGCCCACGTTTAGATCTCCCCAGAACTTCTTTTTTTTTTTGTTATTCGCTGAACAACATCATCTGCCCGCAGTAAACATTGCGCAGGATGCGTTTTACATTAACGGCTGCCCCAGTTTCTGTAGCCTTCAGCCCGCTTAATGTTCTTAGCAAATCAAAGCACGTGCCCTTTGAAGAAGGTGTGTAATTGGAGTTTAAGGCATGTATGGAATTCCCAGATGTCTATAAAATACGAAAGAGCATTTGGCAGGTCACTTGAAGGTGGAGCAGGTTAAAACCACTCGCACAACGCTCCTCTTGCCCCTGCTTTTCGCAGAGTCGAACGTACATTGAAAAGGGCCAAGCGATGAGACTTCTGGAAGGCTTGGAGCCCTTTCCCGAAGCAGGAATAAGAAGGAGCCACAAATAGTAACCCGCGTTTTAGAAAGCCAAAAGAAAGAGAAAAATGGTTTGGAGCCGCCCAGCTGGAAAACGGCAGGGAGACCCTGCCCTGCCTGTGTCTAATGCCCTCCTCGCTAGGATTAGACCGTTTTTATTTACATCGCTTTGTCGTATATAGTAACCAACACGTCGGGAATGGCTTTTATAATGTGATCTGAAACTTAACGGCACCGGAGCAGTTGAACTGGCGCTCTTTGAGCACACCTACGGGAGACCGGGGTTGAGTTTCATTCCCCAAACATGCCGCGGCAAAGCAAGTTGAAAACATTATCATGAATAACAGAGTCCACGTTCGGCTTTAGCCCGATTAAGCTATCAACACCTGCGGAGCGGTTCCTAGGCGCGGGCACCCGGGAGATACTCGCACACGCGAGGAGTTGCGGGTGTGTTTGTTGATTCGAATTCCGTTGTTCGCTCCGGAGCAACGCCCAAGTATCGCACTGGGGTGCGGGACGTTACCTCCCGCAATCCAAGCCGACGTGGGGATTGTTGGGGGTGAAAACGGGGAGAGGGAGGGCTAGCGCTTTAATATTTCAAGGCTGGGGAGTGTGTGTGTGTGTGTGAGTGTAAAAACAAAGCATCGCGGGGAAGCAGCCCACAAAGCAGCCGTGGGAGGAAAGGGGAGCTTCAGAGGTGGAGGACTTTTGACATGTGAAAAGTTAAGCAGGTACCTGAAAGAGGTTTATTTTGACCAGATGTTAGAGCTTTGAGGACCACGTCACGTGGAGCGAACAGATGTACAACTCGCAAATGGAGCCACGCCTTCGAACTGCACGGAAGGAAAATGGAGCATAAATCAGTCTCCCCCCCCCCCCCCCCAACCTCCCCCCCCCCCCCCATTCAGGTGCTTTATTTAAACATCCATTTTCGTTTGTTTGCTTGTTTGTGGAATGCGATCCCGATGCCCCCTCTGTCTGCAGCTTAGAAGTCTTTTTAATTCCACTTCCCTCTATGTTGTTGCTGAGGCCTGGGATTTGATTGTGTGTATGGGGGGAGGGGATGACTATTCCCCCTCCCCCTTCTCAGGATCGTTTGATCCTGAAGAAAGTATCGGATCTCGGTTGGGAAAAAGCTGAGACTAATCAATTTTTGTTGAAGGTGGGGAGCGGCTGCTAAGAAGAGCGGAGGAATGCCTCTC